GGGTCGGAACTGACTCGATGGCACTTAACAACAACATATAAAGTAAATATGTTAAGATACATGAAATTGACAATAAATTAATACAAGATAATCTACCCCAGATAGCAAAGATTCTGATTTGCTCATCACTAAGAAAACTTACCTTCCACAACATCAATCATGCACAGGCCCAGCAGGCTTGGCACCAGGTTGGATGCTGCTGTGTGGACTGCAATAGCACCACCCATGCTGTGTCCAATCAGCATAATTGGAGGAGGGAGATCCCCATACATGGCTTCAACCACATAGCCAACATCTCTGCAAAAAAGAAGAAACAAAATGGGAAATGTTATCCAACAGTATTGTAAAAATGAGTTTCTTTACCTTTTAATGGTCTTAGAGACTGTGCAATCTCCTAACATGTCCTCCAGTAAACTATAAAGGTAGCCATACACCTTGTTCTCCTGATAAATGGTAGGTTAAGTGTTGCAGACTGCAGGTATTGGGGTGTTGAGGACCAGTGTCATGGACGAAAATCCAGTACGTGGCTGCACTCAGACTTGTTGGCCAGAGACCCTGTGGGCTCAAGGAAGTAACCTCTGGACGTCCTGGGTTCATTGGCTTTTACGAACTTACTGTGGGGCTAGCTCTGTATAATTCTCTTTAGTCCTATTAATTCCTGCTATACTTCATACCCCTGTAATTGTGCTTCTGAGAAAATGGTTTCTTACGTGCCTCTCAATGTCTCCACTGTGTCGGCAGTGCTTAAGGTTCTAAGAACAAATCTCTCTGAGGAACAAACTCTGGCCACGGGGCACGCTCGTCCAAACTGTTCTTTATTAAATTATTTAGTTATGTTTGATATTAACTTAATACATGAGCCCTTGATACCCATGGACAAATATTAAAACCTCTCCTAAAGCCGAGGCTGTAAAAAGTTCCAAAGGCAAGTTTGCTGGAGCCAGGCTGCCCAAGGAATTAACTCAAAGTAGATGGGCAACTTCCAAGCTTTTGTTCAAAGAACAAAAGGACTGCCATCTTAAATCGTTCCCAGGTGCAGACCATTGACCTAGGCAGGCGTCTGGTTTCCTCCTGCAAACCTGGCCCAGGCAGCCCACACAGCGGGACTCCTCCCAATCCTTTTCACCTTCCCCCATCCGAGATTAGATGCTATAGGTATGTTAATTAGGCTTGAGAAACCGAGTTGCGGTCTTGGGATTTGAACCCGAAAAGTGCCATATAATAATTTGCTTGAATTTCTGGAAAATTAAGGATGTTAGATTACCAAGACAATTTGTGATGTATGTTTTAGAATTTGTAACTGTAAATCCTTGTGTCCTGTGTTGAATGAAAAATCACATTTCACTTCTGTACTGCCTCCGAAACAAACCCCACCTTCCTTTGTGTAAAGCTCCTCCCCGAAATAAAACTGGGGCACAGACCGAAGCCCGCATGTGTTCGGCTTGCAGTACAGGCAGGCATTGCAGTTGGCAAGGTGTGCAAACGGCATGCATAGCCAAAATGTTTACAATGCAGGATCAGTCTGATGCCGGTTACGCATCCACCCTAGTTCCAGGGTGTCTATGTATCTCTCTTGTTGGGTCTTTGTGTGTATTCTGTATCTGTCGCTGTCGTCGCCAGATCTCCCAACTTCGTGAACCAAACTCCCCTGTTGAGGCTGGTTCTCGACATTCTAGGACTGTTGTTGTTGTTGTTGTTAAGTGCTATGGAGTTGGTTCCAACTCAGCAACCCTGTATAGGGTTTCCAAGGAGCAGCTGGTGGGTTTGAACTGCCAAACCACCAACCTTTTGGTTCACAGTACAGTGCTTATCCTACAGTGCCACACCAGGAGTCCAAATTTTCTGATTTTCCTTTATACCACACTTACATTGTTCCAAACATTAGTTCAACTCAGGGCTTCGAACAAGTAAGTCACAGCCAACAAAGCAAAAATTCAGGTCAAGAACAAACCTGAATAAAAGAGGAGAAATACTGTTAAGATGCTTGACTGTCTTATGAATATTGGTTTCCCTTGCCTACTATTGTAAAATAGACACTTGAGTGGGATAGAAAGGAATACTGGGAAACATATTACAGAACACTTGTAAACCCATCTTCAGCCTATAACTGATTGGAATACCTAAAAGGGGTTTGAGAATTTGTCCAGTAAAACAGGCTTCTTGGGGAGCCCTTATAATGTATACGATCTTAGGTAGAATCCCGAGTCACGTCGAGAACCTTCTAAGGTGGGACATTCCCACTTTAAAGGACACGCAAACCAGTCCCAAGCGACTACAGGAACAGAAGATACTTACTGAAAGAAAGACCAGCAGGAAAAAACAAAATAAAAAAATAGAAATGGCAGTCTTTGCTTATTACAAGAACAAGCAACCTGTTCGTCAGGGAACCATCAAAGCAAGCAATCAAGTCCCTTCAGGACAAAACCCCCTCCAAGACTGAAAATCAAAGGTAACACACAAGCAGGCATGTAGGCTACCTGGCAGCTGCATTGGTCTACATGTGAGTGAGTGGGGGAAAGTCAGTAATGAAGATATGAGCTGAGTATGACCACGTTCCATAGACTCCTGCTGACCTCGAGATGAAAGAGAGAAGAGGAAGGGCTGGTTGGTCTGAAGTTTAGGAAGACTTGGGAACTCCTGTGCCCAAGGACATTGCCTTAGCCATGGAGGGCTGGAGCTGAGAGTGACGCATCCTGCCTATATGCAATGTGGGAAGATACATAAGAATGCCCAAACTTGCAGATAGTACCCGTTTGACCTATCTTCGATGGTTTGATGACCAGAGCTCGACTAGAGGAAGAGTAAGAAATTTAATAAAGGAATCAAGTGTAACTTGCTACAATTTGATGAACTTGACCTATACTTATGTAGTAACTCAAAATACCAACCACAAGGGAAGGAGTCTTCACATCAAAGATCAAGCCCATCCCCTCAGTATACAGGGTTGATAGGGATGGGCAATTTAGACATTGGCTACCTAAAATGGAGTGGAGAGACTTATAAAGACACTAAGTGGCTGGCTTACAAGTCTTCAAGAGGAAGTTTAGTTTAAGAGTGTGTGGGGTAAGCTAGAATCCCCAATGAATAGTTTTCATCTCGTCCAGATGGGTCTGGTGAAAGGAGATGGGGATAAGATTCTTATGATTCAATAGGAGTAACTGTTATCATGACTAAATGATATTGCCACAACTGTAAAGGCAGAAGTTTTGTAACATAAAGGGGGGAGTAGTAAATGTTACATTCCAGGAACAGAGCAGCTGAGGGCTTTACACTCATGGAAAGAGAAAGCTGTGTGCTGGCGGCCAGCAGACAGGCTTGCAGAATGTGCCCTTTGGTTGTTTCAATGATTACATTTTCTGAGTACTTTTTGTTTTTTCTATTTTTTGTCCTCAGCTGCTCAATCTCTTCATGACATCATCTGTGCCTCCATCTCTGATATGGCTGCTTCTCTGGTTAGGGTTCCATGTTCAGGTCATCCTCTTCTCTCTGAATGGTCCTAGGGTCGCTGTTCCTGGAATGCAAGATTAACTACTCCCCCCTTTTTGTTATGCAACCTCTACCTTTACAGTTGTGACAATTGCAATTAAGTATGATAATAACTACTCATTATTGAATCAGTGAATCCCATCCTGTCTCCTTTCACCACACCCATCTAGACAAGAGGAAAACTGTTCAGTGGGAATCCTATCTTCCCCTGCACACTCTGAAACTAAACTCTCTTGAAAACTTGTAAGCCAGCCACTTCATACCTTTTAAGCACCCACCTCCCCCATCTTAAGTAGCCAATGTCTAAATTGCCCTTTCCTATCAACCCTGTGTACAGAGGGGATAGGTTTGATCCTTGATGTGAAGACTCTTTCCCTCTCGGTTGGTATTTTAAGCTACTACATACATAAGTATAGGTCAAGTTCATCAAACTGTAGTAATTTACACTTACTTCCTTAAATTAAATTTCTTTATGTTCCTTTAGTCGAGTTCTGATCATCAAGCCATCGAAGCTAGGTCAGATGGATACTATGTACAAGTTTGGGCATTCTTGTGTGTCTCCCCTCACTTTGTATCAATCAGCTGGACGCCTCACTCTCACTCACCTGAGTGTTTTGTGTGTGTGTGTGTGTATATATATATATATATATATACAAAACAATAACAGGGGGAATAGAAGCAAATATTGTTGAATGATGATGCCTTTAGGGGATTGTAATCATGGCAATGAAATGAAATACGACAGGATGAGTGCAAAACCGTTGTTCTCCCATATAAACTATCACTCAATTAACAATAAAAGCTTAAAAATAATATTATCAGGGTGGTGGTGGTTGTGTGCCATAGAGTACGTTCTGACTCACACAGTGACGCTCTATAGGACTTTGGAGGCTATAAATCTTTATGGGAGCAAAAAGCCTCATCTTTCTCCCATAGAGCAGCTGGTAGATTTAAACTGCTGACCTTGCAGTTAGTAGCCCAACTTGTAACCCACTACTCTACCAGAGCTAGAACAGATTTAAAAAGAATGTGGACACATGGGAAATGTAACTAATGTCACTGAATAATTTGTATAGAAACTGTCAAATGGGGACCTAAATTGTTGCAAAACTTTCACTGAAAACACACAAAAAAGTATTATTAATAGTATATATAAAAAAAGAACCTGAACTTAAAAAATATGGGTGAATTGGACTGATTATTGGAACATCAAAAATTATGGATCAAAGTCCTAGAATGGGAGATTCTGAAGAGGCATAGTAAGTCTGTTGAAGAGTCTGATGAGGGGCCACTGGCCAGGAAGTAGAGAATGACACACATTCAAAGTGGTGTAGTCAGTTGCCATTCTTGTTCCTGATTCTGCCACTCAAGGGATCTGGTGTGGTGAATTATTTAATGTCTCTTGTAGCCTTGTCTATGTAACTGCTGAAGGAGTGGCAGAGGAGCAGCAGCAGCAGAACCAAGAACCAGAGCACAAGACAGAGCAGTGAGCTTTCCAGCCTATGAAGCAAATAAAGCTAAGTGACTTTGGGCAGGAAGCTTGCTTGCAGAGTGGGTAGCCTGCAAGCATTTAAGTGGGGGAGCTAGGTTTGCTGATCTCCAGAACTAGAGCTGAGTGCCTTCAGGCTGAGGCTTATGGAGGAGTGGTGAGGCTAGTGGGCATTTATGAGCAGCTGACTGGAACAACTTGCCCTGAGCAGTTTCACATTCTACATTGTAACCTGCAAACTTCCCTCATAAACACCAGTACTGTATATTGTCTGAGTTCTGGGTGGGCCATTGCAATGAAGAATTGAACCCAGCTGAATTGA